TTTCATTAGGGGTGGGAGGGGGGTATAACATAACATCTGTTTCATGCCCCAGAGCACACCCTTAACCCTTGCCGGCTGTCTCAAAATACATGCTTTTGGTGGTGGTGGTGGGGGTGGGTCAACTCACAACCATCAATTCCCACAAGAAAAACAAGCTAAAGTGTAAGCCCTATTGACAACAAATATTTAATCTAAAGATTCATTTTTGTATGAAGAACAGCATATTTTCAGTATTTCTTGCTTTATGGAATATACTTTTGTTCGAAATGGATGGACTGTAAAACTTTTGTTCTAATAATCATAACTAAGAGTAAATGAGTCTCTTTTCCAAAGTTTTTAAATGGCCATTAAGGGTCCTCCATCTTCCTCTGGAGTAGTCAAACCTCGCCGGGAAGCCATCTCCTAGAGCTGCTTAGAATTAATGAGCTGAGGCTCTCTTGTTGAACTGTGTGATTCCACCCCAGCCTCCCGGGGGTAGTTAGTTCATGAGCAATGTAATTTGCTTTCACTGTGGAAGGGATTCCTATAGCGTTCTCATTCATGAAAATAAACTGGTCAAAGAGAAAGACTTTCACAAAGAATGTTTTGTTCTGACATAATCTCTTGTAAAACAGAAAATCACTTTATATAAAAGTTCAATTAGGACCAAATAAAGTATAAATGGCCTCTGTAACAATTAGAATTTAAATACAGAAAAGTTGAATATTACACTATTTTCTACTGACTTTCCTGGTTCTATGCCAAACATGTCTTGGCTGCAATAGAAGAATGAGGCGGCTTTCATATTCTGGGGGAGAAAAGTAACTACGGTGGGGGTTTTTCTAGAAGGATGTAGTTGCAATCTGGTACTTTGCAGAAATTCTGGAAAATGAATGAAGTTCTTTTTTTTAATTAAAAAATTTTTTTTATTATGTTATGTTAATCACCATACATTACATCATTAGTTTTTGATGCAGTGGAATGAAGTTCTTTTATAATTATAGCTCTGTATGTAGGATCTGGGACCTTTATAATAAATATATCCCTATATAAACCCAACCCTGCCAATGTGACCTACTATTTATTTAGCAGCAACAGTGAACGATGTGGTTTTGTTCAAAGCTGTAAGTTTGAAGAACAGATTTTATGCCCAGGAAAAAAAAATCTATTTTGAAGGTAAGGAGGGAAAAAAAAGATAAGCTTTTTTACTTAAACAGAAGGAAAAAACCAATCATAACTATTTCAAAACCTTTTCAACCCACTAAACATGAATTAAGAAAGAATACTAAATGGAAGAAAATTAGTAAGCTGCCATATTAGTCCGAGAAGTCCAACAGGTGTTTATTATTAAGCAAGAATTACAGAAATAATAATAGTAAAATCTTTATATATTACAGAAGCCCAAACAAATAAACTAAAATAAAAAACAAAAAACTACAAATAAAGAGAGATTTCATTTTAACTTTAAGAATCTGGTATGGCAGTTGCTTTTCTCAAAGGGACTGAAACAGTTTTGACCCCAGCTGCTACTTATTTTATCTAACAATAGACCGTTTAAAGACGTCCCACTTCTGGCTAAGCTATTCATTTCAATCTAAACTGCATCTTGCTTAAGCCTCAGAAGATAACTTTATCACCTCCAAGCCCTATGCAGACTAAACACAACACTTGTGCCTGATTCTGAATGGTATCTTATATCCAAATGCTCCCTTAATTATAGCTCCTGCTTCTCAAGCTGCTCTTTCAACTTGTCAGAAGCTGCCTGAAGTAACTAAAATTGGATTCGCGCAGAAAAAATGTATTTTAGGAAAACATGTGCAACAAGCACCTACGCATCCATTCACATTAAAACCAGAAGGCAGTATGTTGCAGCCACATAAGAACAAGCTGTAAAATTTAATAATTCACAACGTTCACTTTGAAATCTTGTGGCAGTCTTTTAAAGCAATGCATCACAATGGTACAATCATTTCATCTGTTTGACAAACCTTTATTGTGTGTCTATATGCTAGGCCCTATGCTTGGTGCTGAGCATATAATGATTAGCAAAATAGACACATAAAGCTCTACAGGTTTGTTTGATTTCTAAGGCTGAAAAGCAAAGAGGAAATAAGGTCAGCCTGGTTTTTTCATTAGAGACAGCCATCCCCCCACCACCCTACCTCAATTGTGAAGGGGCTGAGGCACACAAGTTTTTGTAAAAGTCAACTGTAATATTTATGGGGAACCAGCTCCCGGAGTCCCAGTGCCAGTAGGGGTAGATCCTCAGCTGAGTCTCTAACAAATGTTGCCAAATTACTGTAGTTTCCTAAAATCTGATGGCTATTTGTAATAATACTGCTCCTGGAAAATGCTTTCTGGGTTTTACAAGGAGTCATCGCCATGAGCCAAGTACTTCCCAGTGCAGCCTAAGTGGTGAACTCTTTGGGTTCTAAGCTGATAATGCCTACGGACCGGAGAGCCAGGATCTCAGATGAGAACCAAGACAAAGAAGTGAGAAAACATCAGGCAATAGAAGTGAAGATTACGAACAAGCTCAAACTTCCCCCAATCCTTTTTCCTCTTCTCTTCATTGAGCAGACAAATATGGGATAAGAAATGGGAGGGTGCCCTGGGTTTAATCAGGTTAGGACTACTGGTAACAATGGAGGGGGTTATAAGAAATAGAATAGTTTCCAAGGATGTACAGGGAAAGGAAGAAAATTCACCAATAGTGACAAAAGGGGAAGGAAGGCCTGTGGAAGTGGCAGAAATGAGTCACCAGCCAGAGTGAACATTTATATGCTATGTATGTTGGCAGGAGAGTCATTAAAAAACTGGGCACCTCTGAGGGCACACTAGAGTCATCCATTCATAACATTAGCAACCACTGACTGTTCCTTGGATATGGGGAACATGGTATGCACTGAAAGAATCTACATAAAGGGGAAAAAATGACTCCTACACTGTTGCAGTATCTGCAATGCCTGGCAAATTGTAGTGTTACACACAAATGCTAGTTATTAATCATTTATTCTTATTACAGAGAAGGAAGCTGTGCTCCAGACAGATTGAATGACGTGACCAAAGTCATACAGTTCTAATTAGTGGTATGGGAGGCAAAGACTCAGGCAATAAACTTTAACGTATGTGACTAGGCATGTGTCAAAGCCATAAACATGTGATCCGCAGGGAGCCATGCAAAGCCAAGACTGAAGCAAGCAGGGAAAGGAAGAAAAGAAGACAGACTCCGTCCCCACCCCCACCCCCACATATCAGAAGGGAATTGCCTCATGCACTCTGGAGAATGAAACCACTGGAAATTACTTATCACATATGACAAAGCTACCAGGGGAAACAAAACAAAACAAAAAAACCCAAAAGTTTTCAGTGATAAACTACCCTGAGGCATATTTATTAGACAGAAATGTCAGTCTTTTTCAGTCATTCTTGAAAAACAAATTAAGTGTAAGAGCATATAGAAATAATAGGTTTAGATTTTATTTTTATCACAAATATAATTTTGGAGTAACCCAAGAAAAGACTACCCAGATATGACTAAATGAACAACACATTTACTCTATATCAGTGCAGGAAGGGAAAAAGGCTTTTTGTATGAACTCTATTGAGTGGTTGTTGTTGGCTACTTAGGAAATCACTGATTCTCTAAGCCTCCTTGAAAATTATCTAGAAAATTATCTTTGTTGCTCTAAAAAAATCTTCAACAATGGAGCTTCATATGAACACACATGAAATAAATATTAATGCAATATTTAATAAAGAGGATAATTTTGAAAACAAAAAACACCCACAGTACTTCATAAACCTTTTACCAATGAGCTTTAAGATGTACACTGATATAATCTCTAACTAAAATTTGAAACTATAAACATCTTCTTAGATCCTTAGACTTGGTGAGCTTTGCAGGGACTATGCTCTCTCCAGCATGCTCAAGTCTCTTTTCTTTGACCATTTCTCCTCCTTCTCATCCTCCTGCTGCTCACAGATCCCCTTACTGTCTTTTCTTTGCCTCTCCAAATCTGATCTCAAGACAAATTGGGAAACATCCTTACAACGGTGTACAGGATTCATGAAACTTGAAAGGAGGTATACCCCCTTGTATTTTTTAAATTAGACTTTATTTTTTTAGAGCAGTTTTATTTTTTGTTTTATTTTTACTTATTATTTTTAAGTAGGTTCCACGCCCAGTGTGAAGCCCAGTGTGGGGCTTGAACTCACGACCCTGAGATCAACACCTGAGCTGAGATCCAGAGCTGGACGCTTGACTGACTGAGCCACCCAGGCACCCTTTTTAGAGCAGTTTTAGGCTCATGGAAAAACTGAGTGAAAAGCATATCACAGACCCGCCTCCCCCACCCCTTGTGTCTTAACAGATACCAAATACTAAATCAAGAATTCTTGGGGTGCCTGGGTGGTTCAGTCGTTAAGCGTCTGCCTTTGGCTCAGGTCATGATCCCGGGGTCCTGGGATCGAGTCCCGCATTGGGTTCCCTGCTTGGCGGGAAGCCTGCTTCTCCCTCTCCCACTCCCCCTCTTGTGTTCCTTCTCTCGCTGTGTCTCTCTCTGTCAAATAAATAAATCTTAAAAAAAAAAAAAAAAAAAAGGTAAGAATTTTTTATCTGGGGTCTAGGGAATCCAGAGATGGTCTTCATGGAGTCCTTGATCTCCCAGATATTATATCCTGAATTTTGGCATACGGATGTATATACATTTTTTAGGAAGCAAGTCTCATTAGGTTCTGAAGCAGTTGGCATTCAAAAATGGTTAAGGCCTCTAAGCTAAAGAACGAAGTTCAAGATCCGGACATGAGGTAGAGAGACTTAAGGAACTATTTTGGGGTCAGAAAGGCTTTACCAACATCCCTAAACGCATACCACACAGGTAGCTGCCAGAGCAAGTATCAATATGTATACCCAGGCCTTGAACTTCAACAGGAGCTACAGAAACATCCAGGTTAAAGAAATTACAACCAATGAAATGACTTTCAAAACATACGATGACCTCTTTTTTTCTTTAACACACCTTTAAAGCCTCTATCACGAGGTCCCTTGCTTCAAGCTCTCCTTCAAGAATACTGAATAGTGTTAGGAGTTCAGGCTTGCTGAGTTTTTCCAGATTCATCCTGAAAGCCTAAAACAAAGACAACGATCAGACAATCTCCAGAAGACAGAGTGAGTCTGATATTACTAAAGAAAAAAATAAATTGAGTCAGACAAGAAAAGAGCAACGATTACAGTAAAAAAATGCTTTAAGATGGCAAACTGTACAATTAAGTAGAAAAAAGAAGAGCTTTCTGGTGTTAATCATAAACTGAGCAGTAAGAGAAAATAAAATTCACCTTAATTATGGATTTCATCACTACTCACAAAGATCAATTTTCCATCATTTTTTTCCTTCAGGCATATTTACGAACATCCTGGGAGGTCTCAGAAAGAATTAGTCATGAGTTTAGTTCACTAGAAGCGCAGGTAAAATTGTGTTACCATGAATACTATTTCACCAGAAAATCGTGAGATCATGAAAAGATTTCCCAGTTTTAGAGAACCAAATTCCTAAAGTGTATATAAAACATTCTGGCATCCCTCCAAAGTTGGCTGAAACGAAATTTGGGCAAAGACAATGTCCGGTGGCAGTATGGGAGACATTTTTCTTTTAAACTATCTACTTTCATGTGATAGGTGTTCTCTGTGAAATAGTTAAAAAGGAAAAATACCTATCACGGTATTTATATGTCATATAGTAAAATAAGACTTCAATGCAACCATCATACAAATATACTTTTAAATAATTTCTTAAAATATACTGTCCTTAGTAAAAATCTTAATTGGACAGATTACTACACACTGAATTTATCTGACTCAGCAAGTTCACGTTTCTGAGAAGTCGTACATCTTTTGAAATATGTTAAATGGCAAACTGCATAGCACAAACTCAGTCCTTTCCACAAGATTAATTTCTCAAAATCCACACAGAGACAGAAGTTAGACTGCTACACAATTTTCCAAGGGTCCTCTGACCAGGGGTATAGTAAGATACATTTTATAACTTCCGAGACTGAGCAAATACTACTTTCCTTCTCCCCCTTTTAACTTCCAAATTGTCACTCTCATACAGTTTCCTTTAAAGTGAATTACAACATGACGAGTTCACACACCCTCCAGTAATTCCCAACTCTTATGAGCACATTAAATTTTAGGAGGCACACAAAAGAGTCATTGATTCCTTCCAGAGCTACTGCCTCTCAGTGAGGGAGAGCATGTAGAAAAGGCGTACTTCACTGTTGTTAGATTGTGTTCCAAGACATGCTGTAAGAATCTTTTGCCATATGGTAAAATATGTTCCATCTAACTTCAGCTCTAACTGCTAACTTTCTAGCTACCGAGTTTCAGCAGCTGGTAAGTGATCCTCACTTCTGGATTACAGAAGACCTCTCACAACAGGTATTTTAAAAATAACTAAAAAAAAAAAACAAAAACAAAAGCCCACAAACCTAAGAAAGCCACACACTTAATTTAAGATGGTATGTTGGAAAGAGCGTGTGGCTTTGCAGTCAGATAGATGCCAGGTCTGCATCATCTTAGTTGCATGATTCGGGGCAAGTTTTCTGATTCTCTGTTTTCTTATCTGTGAAAGGGGGATGATGATATCTAACTCATAGGGTTTTTGTGAAGATTGGATTAATAAATGTAAAACATCTTGCCAAATTCCTGATACAAGCTAAACAATGGTTTAACTATTAATAACTACTATCCTCTCTCACTTTCCACAAGAATTCTAAGAAAGGCATTATCAGAATTGGGGGCAGCCAAGATCTGACCTCAGAAATACCTTCAAGCTGCCCTTTTGTGGTTGGGAAACATAAATGAAGAGGGGTGATAGCATCCTGGAGTGAAGAATGGTGAGGAATTTAAGCCACCAGTTGAGTCACACTGGTTTCTTAGATGAAACCCTTCCCCTTCTTCCTGATGGTTTCATGGTTTAATCTCGCAGAAATTAAAAAGCAGAGGAAAAATCCTATCATTTTATGCCCATCCCCTTCCCTCCCATGATGTTAAGCAGAATAATGGGCAGTTGTAAAGGTACTCTGCAAATACCAACTACACTGAGTAAATGAACTGGATGCAGAAGCACCAAAGTGATAATGGTAGTGTTCACACGTATTCTTCTTTTTTTCTTTCAGTATCTTTGTAGTCTTTCAATACTCTTATTTAGAGATCTAAAACTGGGGCTGAAGGAAGCAGTGGCATGTGAGGAAAGCATAACAGACTGGGAGTGAGGAGTGCAGAATTTAAATCTGAGGTCCGCCACTAAGCAGCTCTATGGCCTTGGGGAAAAAAGTTACCCAGTTGCTCTGGCACTGAGTTTCCTCACAGGTAAAATCAGACAGACTAGATAATCTCCAAAGTCTTTCTTTTTTCCATTCTAAGCTTTCATGGGTAAAAATCAAGAATTAATTGTTAGAGAATCCAATGAAATAAGAATAAAGTGAATATACAACAAACTAAAAACAGACTGTACCTAAATCAAAGTCTTGGATCTGTTGTGATAAATACACATCCTCATAAAAGAGAAAAATTGAAACAATCTTCAGAGTCACTTTAATTATAAAGGAGTCCAGCCTAGGCAAGAAAAAATTCCATTCTATGTCAATGGCATAAAGCACTATAGTCTTGTGATCTACATTTGTAGATCGCTTCTGCACACAAATTTTAATATCTGGAACACTCTGCTAATATGTACCCACTTGTCCAGCTGAGTGTCTACATGAAGTGAATACAATACAAATATGACACAGGAGGAAAAAAAGGGTCACAGCTGTGTAACTGAAAAACCAATATGTCTGTTTTCACATATTCCCATAAACTTTCTTTAGAAATACTAAAATTCAGCAGTTCTTTGCTGTTCTTTATATTTGAATCCAATCTCAATACACAAGACATTGCAATAAATTTAATATAAATGAAAGGCCGTAAAACCGCATTATGTTTTAGGTGATAGCAATATTCCTGGGAGTGGGGGTAGCGGTGGGGGTGGGGGTGATACTGACCTGATAATTGGCAGTCACACTTTCGTCCTCGAGTATAAATTCTTAAGGTCTTCTTCAGTTAAAATTTGGGAAAATTGACAAATATATTTAAAATGCCATCAGCATGGTGGAAAAGTGTCCGATGCTGCAAAATAATAAGAAATTTATTGTCTATGTGACCATACTATAAACGATTTGATAAATCCCATGAATGTCAACTGTCATTACAGCTGATAAGGCCTGACAGGTGTGGGTTGACACAGACAAGAAAGAAAACAGCTACTTCTTCAAGTCGAAGCTGAGTAATATAGCAAAACTACCATGCATATGACTTCCCTTTTGCAATTACAGTTAGGGAAGGTGAGGGCTTTCAAAATCATTTTTACTTTAAGATGTCCACTGCCATTTCAAGGACTAACTTATGAGAGTCCTGGAAGAGAAATGACTGTCTCCCTGAATTGACAAAAGCCTATTTGCTTAGATCACCATGACTGATGCACAATACACTCAGATGGGAAAATAACATAATTACAAACGAACTTTTCAAACTGCTAAATTTTGTAAGGTACGCGCTTACCCCCTCACCTCCTGCCAGTTAATGAACAAACAAATCAACCATCTGGACTTTGTCTGTAAGGCTAATTACTCATCCCAGCTCCTACCTTTTCCCAAATATTAAGTGTTGAATTATATGCAAATTCTGTGTTTATGTTTTCCTAATAGTATATCAGACCCAGCAAACTTTTTTTTTTAAGATTTTATTTATTTGACAGAGAGAGACAGCGAGAGAGGGAACACAAGCAGGGGGAGGCGGAGAGGGAGAAGCAGGCTTCCCGCTGAGCAGGGAGCC